ACGTTCCAAGCGACTCATACTTTTTGACACAACTGTAATGTCTCTCCTAGCCACAAACGTACATTTATGCGGAAAGCTAACTAGTTGTCCAAAATGATCTGACGGTAGTTGTTTAATTATCTGTCTTGAAAGTGGTACTAGATCTGTAAAAATGTATAATCGTAGAATCCTTTATGTCACCATCGATAGTAGAAGGAGGAAGGGAGAAGTGTCTGTTAAGGACGCTTAAATCTACATTGGTAGACACAGTAGCAGTAGATTTCCCCACTCCTACAGAGCGCAAAAACCGCCAGGCATCAGTAGGATTGCGATCAGTAAGAGAGCTATGGAAGAAGCGTCGCTTAGCATCCCTACACATACGACTGCAGCAATTTCGAAGAACCTTAAAACGAATAAGATTGCGGTTAGTTGGACGTTTCTTATATGCTCTTTTTGCCTTATCTCTTTTTTGACCACCAAAAAAATTTACCACCCATCCAATTGCCGGCCTTTGCAATCGTCGCTTAACCTCCTCAATCGCAGATCAAACGAGCTATCCGGCACCATCGAGCTTTTCATTTGTTTATATACGGATATTGCCGTATTTTTTTTGTAAAATTTTGATGATATGGTAAGTATGAGCAAATGAATCGTTCCTCGATATTATTGAACAGAAAATCAAAAGCAGATCGAGCGTTCTACCACCTTCATACATTTGAAGTGATACTGCAGACCATGAGATTTGTGACCGATATTGACAGATAGTACAATCTCATAAGCAAACACTTGAGTTTTTCCATACATTTTATAAGTGCATGCGATTCGTGTGATATCGTTCATTCATATCGAATAACATCGCATCTAGCCATATAAAAAGAACCTTAGGTTACTTTCCATTCGCATAAAGCCGCGGGCACAACTAGTTTAATATAATTCTAATTTACTACGTTCCAAACAGGAAACAGTCCATGTTTCCTATGGATGACGAAAATATTTCGAAATCGTCGACGAAAAATATGGCACGAATATTTTTTAATTAATATTTATAATTTTATTGATATATTGTTATCGCTATTTATATTTAAAGCCTATGATTTGGCTAAACTTGTTTCTTTTAATTTTTGTCCGATCTTAGCAGTCGTGTTTTTAATTTTTAAATAATTTTTATATTTTATTCATTTTAGTGAGCAGTTAATTTTGTATACAGATTATATATTTTTAATGGACCTTTAATTTGATACCCATAAAGTTATGATTATAAAAAAACATACTTTTTTAAATGGCGTCACACGTCCCCATACCTATTTAATATTAATAATTAAGCTAGTTTCACTGATACTCTGTGTATTTTGTGGTAACTTAGGATGATGTTTCTAATGATACCCTGTACATTCATATCCGTTATGTCTTTCAAAAGTTATGGTGCAATAAAAATACTCACATACATACATTAATTCTAAAAACAATAGACTCCTTTTCGAGAGCAGTCGTTTAAAATATTCGGGAATCGATAATGAATCTCACCATAGAATTACTTAAATAAATACAAAAATTGGGAAAAGTATCAAAATAGCTTGAACGTGTTTTCAACACAGTATTGTGGACTCGTGACCTTGAACAAGTTCTTGAGAACTCAAATCACAGAGTGAAAATTTGTCATATGGCTCTTAATTGGAGTATCTGATGAATGAGATTTTCTCAAAACTGATTCTTTTATCCGAAATAATCAATTAAAAGAAATGCATTGTATTTGAAAATTTGTAACCTCCTAAGGTTTCATGAAAAAAATACAAAAGAATAACTTTGAAAGAAAGAAATAAATTTTCTTAATGAAAAACGCTTAATAAATCAACTTTGTCCTTCGCATTCTGAGACGGGACTCACACCTAAGACCTTTCGCAATCCGGTTATGGGTTCGAGTCCCATCTCAGAGTGCCAAGGACAAAGTGGATATTTTAAGAATATTTTTCAGTATAGCACTGTGAATGCAAAATTAATCAAATATAAGAAATGAATTTGTTTTGCGGCAAATCTTTCGAAAGTTTCAAATTATCTACTTTGAAGAAAGATTGACTTTTTACAGTTTAGACAGATCTAGTATCTAAATACATGGACAAGTTTAATAAGTACTTAATTAGAAGCGATAATTAGTGGTACAGGAAACGAGTGACATGCCACGTTGAAAATGGCAAAGCCAGTACTAGTGTGTTTAAAATAATTGGCATTTCACTACCATCCTAGCTGCGAGATCCGACTGGTTACAATAATCGATTCACACATTTATATCTTACGATTGTTAGGATAATTGACAGTTATTATATTTTGATTAGTTTTGCATTCAAAATATCATACTGAAAAATATTCTTAATACAAAATGCTTAAAAAATCCCCCTGGGATGGGACCAAGTGGATTTTTTTAGCATTTTGTATTGAGAATATTAAGAGAATAGCTCGGTTCGGTGGCGTAGTGGATTAGCGGAGTAGCTCGGTGGCGTAGTGGATTAGCGGAGTAGCTCGGTGGCGTAGTGGATTAGCGCCGCGATCCGTGATCGTAGTCGTTAAGCAACTTTCGCAAGGGTCGGTCACGGGATGGGTGACCAAAAAATTATTATCTCGAGCTACTCCGTGCTTCGGAAGGCACGTTAAGCCGTTGGTCGCGGCTGCATTTCCAGTCGTTAATACCCTCCAATCTGCATTGGGCCAGCGTGGAGGGTCATGGCCCATCCTCTTTAACCATCCATAAGGAAGGCCTGAGCCCCTGCAGTGGGAACGTAACAGGGCTGATGATGATGATGATGATGATGATGATGATTAAGAATACACCTGACAGTTTAAATGGAGTTTGCCCATATCGATGATTTTCATCTATCTCATCTCATTTTTAACCGACTGCAAAATCCAAAAGGAGGAGGTTATATGAGATGTATGTTTTTTTATGTTTGTTTAAACGCAAACAAACAAGATATCAAATCTTTCCTCTTTATAATATGAGTACTTCCTGTAGAATGATTGAAAAAGTTATGTAGAGCAGATTAACAAAATGTCCTTTTCTAAGACTTTCATTATGTTGAATATTTTTATTTATACACCTAGATATTTAATATTTTTAGTGTTATGTATTATACATATAAATAATATTAATATCACCAAGATAATGAAATAAAAACTTTAAAAAAAGAACCTACTTAAGTATATAAATAATATTTATTTTTTACGCCGTTAGTGCACCGACGCATTCGCTTGCAAATACGAAATATCTGCGAAACGTGTGCAAAACTATGTAAATGAGAATAGGGCTGTCACTGTTTTCACATTCGAATCATATAACGCACATACTTATGTCTTCCTAGCATATAAGGACTTGTATTCTTTAATTCAAACCTCTTAAATTGTAGTCATATCATCTTATTTAATACACCCAACCACCCCACAAACCTTTTGAGAAACAAATTTTGTGACATTCGGATAGTCATTAGAAATAGGGACAGGGACCCTGAATGCAAAACATGTGCGTCTGTGTTACGGCGTTTTTCTCAGTTGACTGCGACAAGGACGCAGCTATTTTATTGGGCTAATAACGTTGTGAGACAAAACACATGCTAAACATTACCATACATACAACTGACAAGATTTCGCAAATGTTCGCATTCGCATGCGATTGCATCGGTGTACCAAAATTTCTGTAAATTATTTAAGCGCCAGACTTCAATAGCAGTTTCTTGAATAAGTCGCTTTTGAGATAAGTATTATATATCACTTTTTACACGAGTAGCTCGGTAGCGTAGTGGATAAGCACCGCGGCTTGCGATCGTTGTTGTTAAGCAACTTTTGAAAAGGTCGGTCACGGGATGGGTGACCAAAAAAAAATATCGAGCTACTCCGTGCTTCGGAAGAAACGTTAAGCCATCGAGCCCGGCTGCATTTGCAGTCATTAATACCCTCCAATCCGCATTGGGCTAGTGTGGAGCGTCGTGGCCCATCCTCCTTAACCATCCATAAGGATGCTGCTTTATTTTTTCTAAGTTAATAAAAGTGTTCATTTTAGATTATTTTTGATTCTTGAAATTGTTTTTATGTTTCCACGAGATATAAAATACCAAAATAACGAATTTGCTTTTTGTAGTATGGGACAATTATGTATTTATGATAAGATGGGTGCGATCCAATAGATTGCTGACCTCATCCGATACAGGTATGTACTGTAGCAATTCGTATCCTTTAATTTTTACGCTAACATAACACTTTGTGTCACTATCCGAATTTCTCCTGCGTTAATAACAATAGACTAAAATCGTGTCATCGTCGTATCGCGAAGTATAAAAACATCAATCGGGTACGACCAGTGCGACAGACAGTATGGCTACGATAAATCTATAAAGGTTTAGTAGTTCCTGAATGTTAGTGTGTAGCCTAAGATAACTTTTATAAAACCTTTATAAACTTCTATCCAAACAGATATCCAGGAAAATCCAACATTTTTTTTATTATTAACATATCACTTCCATGATGCCGTAAGTAACCAAATGCGAAGCTCATTGTTTCGTTAATTTTCAATTGAAATTGGGTTAGGTAGGTGAATATTAAGTGAATAGGTATGTATTACAGATACAAATATATATTTAATGCGCTTTATATATTTAATTGACTTAATATATTTAATATTTTATTTTCAATAACTTAGTGCTATATCTGTTTCATTAGAAAGCCATAGCTATTACAATGTTCAGCATATTCCGTTGCCATTCTTTAGTGACGTCAGTTTGGAAGGCGATGCTGTGTGAAATTTATAGATTAATACACTGCAGGCTGACGTAATGAAGAAAATAAAGGACCATTCACTTCAGTAGCCAAAATTAAACTCTTATGTCGTCAGACATTTGTTTACACATGGTAGCCATAGTTAATGACATAGTTATGTTTTTAATGAGGTATTAGATATTATTGAATTCCTTATTGGTAAATCTGTCAACTGATTTTTGTGTTCTTCTACTATTAGAAATAAATACTTATACTTTTTTATTCTACGCGCGATGCATATTAATTCTTCGATATACTAGTCTCTCTATTGACAGTAGTAAAAACGACAGCAGAATACCATACAGGTACATAACAACGACAGGATGGAAGTCCACCATATTGACGGAGCCGAAGCTACCACCGCGGGAGTGGCAGGTTGGTTTACGCGTGTAGATCAGACGGTCTTCGCGGTCACTCAGACCATGCTCTTTTATTCTGAATAGCCTAAAAAAATAATAAATATGTTTTATATAGCAAACTGAATCATGCTGGCCACGTCACGTTATAATATATTTTTAGAGACATGCGTGTTTTTATTTTCAAAGAAATTGGAGAAGGTGACACTATTTATAACCTTTCCTGTAGTGTCTTATTGGCACTACATGGCATAGAGTTTAAATAGGTTAAATATTTTTACCCAATTTTGAATATCTCTTTGTACGGAGATTGTTTTCTACAAGTAATATAAGTTTTGGTGTCATCCAAATATGCAATCTCTTGAAGTCCACACTTTTCATGTTCATGAAAATACCTCTCTACCAATCGGTATCCAATGCCTTTGTGCATGTTAAAAGCAAACGGTTCCTGAAATTAAAACTTGAGAAATAATGGAATTGGTTTCGAGGGTTTCTTATATATGTTAAAAGAACTATTGTTCTATCGAATAACTTTAAAATTATTTATCTCAATCCCTCTAATTCATATTTCATGATATATAACATATACTATACTGAAAAAATTAACTTTGCGATTAAAGTTTGTACTTGAAACTATTTATTGCACGTTTAGGTTGTAACTTACGTTTTGCAATTTCTTAACGCCTTCTTCGATACTCATAAATCTTGGCTTTCTTCCTTCGGGTGCGATTTTATTTTGGTATATTGCTTTTCGAATAGGCTCTGTAGCAATCTAAAATGTTATTTTTACTAGATTTAGTTAATTTTATTCACCAAGTATTTTCTATCAGCTGTTTTAGTTTGATTATGAAAATATTTGTGGAGAAACAAAGAGATGAACTTAATAAACGTTCTCAGAATTTGCCTAAAATAAATCGATCTATCCAAAGAAGGAAGTTACATCTCTACTATTCACAACAGTTTCATTAATAAGACGCTTTTAAGATGAGCATTATTTATCAAAATTTGTAAAGTTTAAAGTCGGTTCTATTTTTTGAAAAAAGAAAATATAATATTTGATTACCAAATTAAAAATTTGACTGTTTATTCAAAAACAACTTTATTTTTCGGATAGATCGAAACACATTAAAATATAATTGGAACTTTCTTCTGGAATTATACTTCAATATTTATTAATTTTTTTACTTGTAATTTAAGTAATCATGTTGATAAGAAGATTACGACCTTAAAATATGCATTACGTGCGGGAAGTGGATCATACTGTAATATCGTAAAAACATATCACATAATTAGTTTCAGATAAAAGAAAAAAGATTTTTTTAAAAAAAATTTTTTTATTAAATAATGTACTTCAATTTAGTTGAATTAGAAACTTTAAATAATGACAATCATAAAGTAATCCTCTACTAGCAGTAGGAATTCATACTACTAATGCCGACGCTAACAACTACTTTACTTACTGCAAAAAAATATCTGTTGTAAGGAGTATCTTCCACTCCTAATTCCAATCGAGAATTAAGTAAGTCAGACAGCGTGCGTATTTGATTCGAGGTTGATTGTAATAATGCTACGATACTGGCTGAATATGCTGAGTACAGAAGAAGAAACGCCAAAAACAAAATAAACATCACCATGCGTCCGAGGGTACCTGCGAATTGCACAAACTCAAAAACAATAAGGCGGCGGGTGATAACGGAGTCACAGCAGAGATTCTGAGAGCAGGCTGTAAGCTGATATTTAAGACCTACAAAAGCTCTTTAATTCTGTTATCCTCAAGATAAAAACGCCAGAAGCATGGAGTAGGAATGAGGTTGTCTTGTTTTCAAAAAGGGTGCCAAACACTCTTGAAGAATAATAGGCTGATCTCGCTGTTAAGCCATATCTACAAGTTGTTTTTTAGGGTCAATATTAATCGTCTCGCTTGTAGGTTTGACGATTTCCAATGTCTTGAACAAGCCCGTTTCTGAAGAGGTTATAGTATTCTAGATCACATTAATACGCTGCGGCAAATTAGACAGAAGACCGAGGAGCATAATCTGGCACTTTGTTCTTCGTTTGTGGACTAAGAGAAGGATTTCTATTCGATTTGATAGAGACATGCAGTCTCTCCAAGGGTACCAAGTGGACTACAGGTATATTGAGGTAAATTACCCTCAGTCTTGACTGAGGGTAATTTAAATACAACAGAAATAATACCTACCGAAATGAAACGTGGACGTTTATTATGAGTCAAGGTCACACAGAGGGCAATGGAGAGAGCAAAGCTTGGTGATTCCGTGGTTGGATTAGAAAAGAGAATATCTATAATATACTAACGTAACTGACATTGTTCTGCGGAAAAGTTCTTGGATGGCGACCACCTACTGGACGACGCTCAGTGGGTAGGCTCCTTACGAGTTGGAGCGAAGATTTAATAAAACTCGCGGGGAATTCGGGATGCGGGAGCGCAGGACCAATCATCTTTGAGGCCCATAGGGTAGGCCTATGTCCAGCAGTGGGCGTCGAAAGACTAATATGATGATGATCATATCAGCCTACAGAGATACAAATAATGTGACTCACTAGTGACTCGCAGCTTAAACTAAATTTTCAAATGCGGTCAATATTTCTAATAATATGGTAATATTTTTTATCATGTACCTTTCAATTCGGTGAAACTTCCTTGCTGCGAAATTGCACTTAGCACCAACATCATAATTTCACTGATATTGGGCTCTAAGGAAGTGGGATCCATCACATTCTAAAAAATATAATAATACTAAAAAAAAGCTTCAAAAAAGGGAAAATAAGTGCAAAGATATTTAATTACTTGCTGTGCCAAAGCAAGAAACGGTTGTTTGGAATATTGAATAAAAAAAATTACAAAGCATTTTGAAAAAAGTAGTTAGTGACCTATTACGCTTTGTTTGGCATGTTGTTTTGTCAGCCGCTTCTATGGCCCTAGACGAATACGTCGTTGGTTATAGACTCAAAATAAAAATAAACTTTTTTAATTAAATAAGGCGTTATTTTGCGAAAGTAAAATTCGAAATCTGTGAAACAGTAAAAATTTGCAAGACAGTTGGTTCCGATTATTGACAAGAGTAACCCCATCTGAGGAGAGGCAAAACACGTGCAGAGTGGAAGTAGCTAGATTTGTGGTCACTTATGCATGTAAATATATTTGCGGGCAGCGGTACCCAGCAGGTTTTGCAGATACTGACCTGGCTGGGTGGAAAGTTGCTAGATATCGTATTTTCACTATTATAAAAAAAACTTTTGGCATAAAGCGAGAATTGCTATTTGAGTTCTTTTTGTTCAAGAGATTTGAAAATAATATTTTAATTGTGAATGTAAAATTGATAAAATATGGTAATATTTTCTTGTTCGTATTTTTTATTTGTTTAATAAAAATATTTGCTAAGTAATTTTGAAGTTGTAATTTTTATCTTCAAATATAACAAATAGCAAACATTATAGTGTGACTAGTGAATAGGTAGGTAATTACCGATTCACTTTTCTGTAGTTTTCTTTGTTCCCACAGGGCATTAATGTAAAGGATCAACATCAAAATCAACACAAACGCTCCCATACAGTACCAAACGGAGGTTTTGAATGGTAGAAGAAACAAATTATTCTGGTACGACAGCGGTGGCTCCTTGAATACGAACTTTATCGATATTGGCATCGGACAGGACAAGTAATCCACCACTTCCATTCGATCTTGTGTAGCTATCAGGACTGTACCTGAATGAGATGGTAATAAAAAAAGTGACAAAACCATACAGACAATTTTTTTTTAACTAAAATCACGAAATGTACTCATCTTTTTCGATATTCTCTATAAATACCTACATAAATGAGCCTTACTGTGTGCTGTGAAAGCGCTGTGTTCGATGCTGTATTTTTTACAGAATATCTGCTGAAACAGACGAGATATGTGGTCTTCCTTGGTTTAGAGCTTTAATGTGTTAAAAGACAGACGGTCAAAGACAGTCAACAGCACATCAGGCTATACAAATCTGTCAAATTTCTCCACTTGATTTAAAACCTTTTAAGGTAGAGTATAAAATCAACTGGAGAAATTTGATATATCGTGGTAACCTGACACAAAGCCACGAATATTTCATCTATTTTATTTGAATTGTATATAACGGCGGGTAGTCCGAAGGGGCTATTACGAAGCCCAAATAGATCGTTCATATCAGGGGACTATCTTCAAAATAACATTGCAGGCGTGTATACCAACGTGGATTTATTCCATTTTATCACTTTTCATACGAAAATATAACGAGATGAGCGTGATGTCGTCGGATGTCTTTACTCCTCGGCGATCGGAAATAGAATGTCTGCCAAAATGGCGGCAACTTGGTTTTTATAAACGAACTGTCAAATGCAGTGTCACCATTCTAATAAAATTAAGTATCGATGATCACGCTCTCTTTACAATCGAGTAATTAAGTAATCGAGTAACTAGCAATTAATATAAAAGAAACTAAATCAAACGATCTTCGTAATGATGATGCGACATATATGTATATTCTTGATTTATGATTGTTTAGTATTCAGGTTTGATTTAATCATTTCTTATTTACATGCAATTTGTGACAATCTTTTATATAGTGTCTGGCCTTTGAATTATGAAACAAAAAATAGCGTAACTAACATTTAACTAATTGCAACTTTGAACATATCTATAATCATTTGAATAATTTGTCTCAACTTATTCGAACAATATTCTTAGAATAATTTTACTCTTTTACCCTGATCATTATGTAAAAATGTTTTCGAACCTGCAAGTTCAGCTTCCCCTACAGTTAATTCTGCAATCATACCTCCATAGGAACCGTTTTTGTAATAGCCCCAGGTTTCGCTAAATATAAGGCTTTTCGTCGCATTCAAATATCCATATATTGGATCGGTGGAACGGAAGCTACTCTTCGTTACCGTGTCAGCAAATATGTCACTGCAATAATAAAATTATAAGCTATACCAACATGTTTGCGGACGATTGTGATCCCAGAATCGTTACGTAAAAAAAAGTTGGTTTATACAGTAACTTACGGATTAAACCTACAAATTCCATGACTAGGCGTAATCAGAGAATGAATAAGCACTGATAAGGTCTTTGTACAAAATATATAATATGTAGTCTAAATCGAATACGACTGCATCTACTGTCTACGAAATTTAATTTAATTTGAATCTTAGCTTTTTAGAACATCTGCATCGGTTTTTTTCCCTCCTTTAATAGCGAAATGCATGTTGCCCGTAATTGTTTCGTTCCCTTCTTCACGAGAAATATAAATAAATGAATTTGCGATACAAATAAACTACAAGTTAACATTCCAAATTCAAAATCGGTAAAAAAAATAACAGCCAGGAACATTTTATTTTATTTTTTAGGTAAAAAGTTTCTCTCAAAACTTATGAACACACACAAACTACTTTTTTGAGTTGGAGGAAATTACAAAAAAAAGGCAAATTAAATATAAAAATCGATTACTTTCGAAGTACATACGTTAAGTCATAAGGATCAGATCTAGTTTTGTTGTCCAGTATAACCATGGCAGTCTTAATAGGTTCTCCATTGAAATTCTTTCTTCTTGTCGAAATTGATGTTTCAGCTAGTTTATTCTTCTTTAGACCATCTAGGCGAGTCCATATTCCAAATTCTTCCGTTATCCATTCACTGTTATTAATTCGCATCTTATAAACTACAAAAAATATTTGTAATTATATTAGTTTATTTTCTTCTTTCTTGTATTTTGTTTGAAGAGTTATTATTTTAGTGTGACAACTAATAGTTTATTTTTAAAGATTTGCTTTCTTATATCTATATTTAGCTTTATTTTTGGGAAGAAATGATATAACGACTCCCATTAATCCAATCTCAATTTTAAATGGGCTTTGGATTTTTTAGTAAATTATATTTTAGGAATTCAGTGCATACTGTGATATAAATGTAGCCATATAAACGAAGAATAAGTTTCTAATTACAAATTAGAAATAGAAAGGAAAATGGTTTCTAATATTATTTCTCAGAAAATGCTAATAAGCCTGCCAATAAGTGTGCCTGCTCTCACCTATTATTTGAGATTTATTTATAACTTTACTTACCCATCTTTAAAACAAAAGAGTCGTCCCCGTTAAGTTGAGCTATGACTACATTAGAATCAGTAAGCAGATTCAAACTTTCAATATCTGTGCTTACAGCACTACTTTTATTAATAGGTTTTCCAATAATTAACCATCGGTAAGGTAATGCAAATTTCTTCATAGAACTAGCCTGAAAGGAGACATCGAAAACTCTTTCGTAAAAGACGATCTGTTTTTCAGAATCAAATAAATATTTAAAAATCGATGTTCAGTGTTCTTATTGTCCAATTTGTATTTTTTGTGCTGAAATACTTTATTATACTCATATTTTAGGAATTATTGTAGCTGCTTAGAAGAAAAAAAAAATAGTTTTGATAATCACCATGGCTGAGTGGTTCGTATTTCAGTTTCAATGTCTCGCCATCTTTAAGATCCTGGTTTCTGGGTCAAATCAATGTAGAAAACTGAGCTTTTCGATATTATCTAGTGTCTGGTTGTTGTGATACCTCAGTTGTTTCGGATTTATACAAGTTTATACAAGTGTCAAAAGCTAATTTGGGATCTGAACAATTTATGTAATTTTAACTTTTTTCATTTTTATAAATACATCAGGTGTGAAAACTAAACTTAAATATATATATAATTTTGAAATGATAACAAGTATCTATTATTTAAAACCAGAGATTTATTAATTTTCTTTGCTAGAATAACAACATACCACTTTGAGAAAATCTCCTATTTCAGGGCAGTTCAAATCTGTTACCACCATGACATGTTCTGGTAACATTGTTTCCATAGTAGCCCATTTTTTGGGTACAAAATGAATGGTTTTTGGATTATCCAAATTCATCAAGACATTCATCAATTTGATTTGTTTGACTGGATTGTGGAAAAATATGTTATTAAGTAATATTAGTTGCGTTGATTATAATAATTTTCGCCAGAATCTAGTGTTTTGCTTAGTTCACTCAGCTTTCCATTAAATAATTGACTTTCCCGTAACTTCGGCTTTGTAAATTATAACCTATGTTAATCGCGTATGATGTAGCTTCTCGTAGTCAAAAGATTTTTAACACCGGACCAATAGTTTTGGAGTCTATTCGATGCATACAAAAAAATAATTTACTCTATACTGTTTTTAATATTAATATCGATAGTCAACTTGTTTATAATCAAAAAATTAACACCATTCTTACATGATTTCCAACAAACATGAACGACTAAAGATGTAGCCATATCGGAAGATCTCACAACGTCAGCGACCATTTCGTTCACAAAATTTAATTCCGATTGAATAAACGCGACACAGATAAAGATTAAAATAAAACAAATCCGAAAGATTTCCATGTTGTAAATTTATTGAAGATAGATTTACATATGGTTCACGAAAGAAAATATTTTGACTTAAGTACTAAACTGTGTTGTGACGTCACAATGCACTATTTAGTATTTAATTGTTAGTTAGAGGAAGGTAGTGTATAATTACATGCTGTACGGTATTGCAGAGCTTTCCCGTTAATCATATGGGAGGTTTCTTGTAAAGAACATGCATCGTAATTACTGTGCGCATTCGATATTTAATATGTGCAAATTAAATCGGTTTGTGCTTCGTAACCCTAATAACTAAGTAGATGCGTATTCATATCATTGACAAAGAATAAGTTTACAGTAGCTTTAAAAATTATTATCTTAAATTTTATTTACATTATTGCAAGGCTACTTCTTGTTTACCTATTTATGATTTGAAAACTATTACAGATGCAATATAAATGAAACAACATTTAAACGGTTTCATTGCGTTTATGTTTCCTTTTCAAGTCCGAAACATCTAAAACTAAATACATGGATAGTGCGCGTGAAAATATAAGAAATGAAAATGTAATATACTTAAATACAATTACATTGATAAACCCTCAATAACAGATATGACGAAACTCAAGAAAACAGCTAGTAACTTTATAAAATTTAATAATTATCTGGCATAATTTGTCGAAAATATAGCAAAATCTATCTACATGAATACTAATATTTTTTTAGATAATGGAGGTATAAAAACCTCCATTATTTAAATGTGGGCCTTGCTCATGGCTTCCCATGGTTTTTTTAAATAGGGAGATGGGGTATAACTCAAACAAGTAAGTAGAATTTAGATCGGTGGTGGTATTAAATCTAATTTTAGTTTCATTCGTTTATTTTCTTACTACATGACAATTTTCTGTAAACAGTACGTCTTCTCTGAACTAGCAATTCAAGAAATAGTAGAAGAAGTGATAGAAGGCAACCGTAAGACAGTATTAAGAGAGCAGGATAGCAGTCCACCATGCTTACTGATACGAAATTGGACTCCCTGCCTGAACATTTTGGTCGTTTTTCATATAACAGCCTGTTCTCTCTGCTCTGAAGGCCATGTTCCTGAATCCTCTTCAAACTGCAGCGAAAATAAAAAAGTCAAGGTAATCACTACATTTCACTAATAATTTCGCAAAAGAGAAATTTGAAAGCGAAATTAAATGGATTTGTAATATGACATTGCAATTTTGAAATAGAATAAAAAATGTTACATTAGTGTGGCATGCAGTCTCGACATTCATAGTGATCGTTAAGTTGCGATCGCTGAGTTAAAGGACCAACCTGTCAATCTCGATCGCTAGGAAGTTAACGAATATCGCTAATTTAATACTTGATTTAAACTTGGTACGTACAAACAACATACGTAAATGTTGAAATAGTCGTAAAATACGATCGCTTTGAGTTTAATCGAATTCGGTAAGATAGCGATCGCAAACTCCGTCGAGATTGCAGCCCCTGGTCGAACAATCTCAGTGAAATCTTGTTTTTTATTTAGGTATGTCTTTGAAATATTTTTTCTTCATTGAAATAGAAATAATAAATACATTATTCAATTTATTTATTTTTATAAAAAGACTTACCCTATTTTAAACATCTCTTTATACGGTGTGTTTTTTCTGACAGCTAACCAAGGATCTATTACTTGAAGATACTGTATCTCTTGCAATCCACATTTTTCACCCTCCTTGAAATATTTTCCAACGAACTTGTATCCCACACCCGTTTCCATATGAAAAGCGAATAAACCCTAAAAATATGTTTAACTCGTCGTTTAGTTTTAAAAAGATTTGGAGAATATAAAATGGGGTTGTTTTTTTATGGGATATGGGGCAGACGAACAGACGGATCACCTAATGGTAAGTGATTACCATATGGACACCTGCAACACCAGAGGGGCTACAAGCTCGCTGCTGGCCTTTAAAATGTGTGTGAATGAAAATTTGATATCTTTCACTAAGTTCAAGAACATTTTCTCAGGATTAACATACAAATTGATCTTCAATTCTGTCATTCCCTATGCCCTGTGCTAGATTGGTTTTCATTATATTGCGTTAAGGTTTTTCTCTCATATATCGAAGAGAGAAAAACATATACATTCTTTTGTAAACAAAAAAAAATATAATTACTTATGTATTATATAATTAAATCACAACTCTGCCATTGATGGGAGCTACACCAGTATATTGTGAAAAGCCATTTAATCAAAATATAGGATTGTGAATCGATATAACATTACAAAAGATGACTTTGATATTGTCATCTTGTTTTCAATACTACCAAATTACCTTTCGCATTTTTAAAACCCCTTCTTCCATTGTAATGAATCTAGGTGTGGTGCCCGGTGGTGCTACCTTCTTCTCATAAATAGCTTTTCGAACAGGCTCTGTGGCGGTCTGAAAACAAGTTAACATTATTTTTACATTTATTTCTCAAAGTACTCAACTAAAGGTATTTTTTTTATCATACCGAGAAATAGTATTTATTGAAAACCGTATCGTGAACTCCAAATTTTAACCTTGAGTGTAGCAGATCTTCCAAACTCCGTATTTTAGAGGAACTTGATTGAAGTAACGCAACAATGTTTGCAGAATATGAAGTGTAGAGGAACATCAAAGCTATGAATAAGAGCAACATTACGACACGACCTAAAGAACCTGGAGTGCAGACAAAAATAAAAAATATAAATAAAAAAGAGATCCATATTTCTTTGGAGTAGGTATGTTTATCCGTTTTTAGTTCTTAAAATTATCATATTCTTTTTCCATTTCGAAGGACTCATCTCAAAATGCTGGATTTTGTAGTCAGAGCATCTGTATTTGATTCTAAAGTTCAATACATTTCAGAAAGAAACTGCTGTTAGATCGCTCTATAATTACATGAATGAAATAATATTTATACCTTTCAATTCTGTCGGACTACCTTGCTGACAAACCGCACCAAATATCAAGATCATAACATCTAGTAAATTTGGTCTCAACAAGCCCGAATTATCGTTTTCCTAAAATTGAGAATATTTGAATGAACTGAATATATATTCTTAAAATCATTTAGCATCTATTAAATGGTTCCTCAAATTTTGAAGAAGCAACAATATTAAGATCGCTTACCCATTCTCCATTATATTTATTCTTCTTCCATTCCCACATGCCTACTAACATTATGGCCAATAGCAACAATATGATCAGCGCGACACTGCTATACCATACAGATGTTCGAAAAGATAGTAAAAACAAATTGTTCTCATAGGACAATTTAGGTTGTTGAAACACGAACTTGGATCGCGTTGGAGTGGGGCTTGCTATGTAATCGACTACAGATATCCTTTCTGATGTGAAGAACATCGGGGACCCTGTTTAAAATAAATAAAAATGTGATTAATATTTACTTGAAATTCCATACTCGAAAATAGAAACATAATTTCATTGGATGCTTAGGCCAAAAGCATTTCATGTTATCAAATCTCAACTAACATAACATTCGGTTTTACGAAACTAGCTACGTTCTCCATTGATGATGAACGATTGAAGTTCTAAATTGGTTGCGAAAAATTGACCTTTTTGCCAAATTTTCACAATCGGGTCTACCCCGATATAGCAGCACATCGGTGTATAGGGGTAGCTTTAGTTACAACACAATCTTTTACTTTTTTTAAATTTATATGTTCAACATCTTTGGAATAGTGAAAGTTGAATTAATACTCTCCGCATCTGTCATTCCCTATATCTTCATATATCACCCAAAGTAATGCGTATGGGATGTAGTTTTATTTGAACAAATTGGCAATCAAATTGATTCTCCATTAAAACTGTGGATACTATTCAGGGAATTTATGTCTTACACCTCCATGTTTAACCATTTTTATACCTCCAATTTCTACTTCTTCTCTTATCAAGAATCCTGTCATGCCATTCCAAGAACCGTTTACTCTATAGCCCCAAGTTTCTGTGAAAATATATTTTCTGGATGCATTGAGAAAATCCAATAGATGATTCGTTGTAGGAAAATTCACTTTAGTTATTGTATCAATGTGATCATTTCTGAAAATATTTATAATATATTACGACTAGTAAGGTCTGTCTGTTTGCTGTCCAAACAAGCTATCAACGGCTTAGATTATATAATATTGGTCACAGGAGTAGCACACCTAAATGCAATTCTAGTTACAATAGTTTGTTACTTTTTATTTTGAAGGGTAGTAATTGTATGTAAAAGGTCGTCTGCCGTTTACGAATATAAAAAACGATAATTAAATGATGATCGTTTAAAATAATAAATAATTCTTAGTTTTCTACCATCCAATTAGAATTAGGTAAGTAGATACTAAAACCTTATTTAAAATCTATCAAAACTAAATTAACTCACATTCCATCGGTGAGATGATCGATACTGTCCTTATTAGTTAGGACACAACAGATACTAATTTGAAGACCATCCAAATTGAGTCTGCGCAATGTCGGAGGGACTGTCATATTGCTAGTAACTATTAATCCGGTTAGTTTATTCCAATATCCAAATCGTTCTTTTTTCCACGAACTGTTTGCGCATATTCTATAAACTGTAGGTTTATTGATTTTGAAATACGATTGCACACCAAACTTTAAGCTACATTAATTTTATATAATCCAATCCAATCCAATATAATGATTGAAGAATATATAATATTTATAATTAAGAATAAAAACATTCATATTTCAAATAACTGAGACTTACTACTATAACAATCGCTTCAATCCGTGTAGATTACTAAAGTAAATACATCAGGCAGATTTACGATTTACTTACTATAATATAGTTCAAAAGAGTATTCACTATTTTTACGAGCAACTAATACATCGGAATCGGGTAAAATATCAATGGTCGCTAAAGCATTAGGCACAACATCATCATTCTCGTTTAAACCAATTAAAATCCATCTAAATGGAGAACGAAAATAATTCTGCCTAAATTTCTGAAAAAAAGAACTTCAATATTATTATTATAACAAATGTAGTCAAGGTTATAAATTATCATGAAAATTCACCTAAAAATAAAACAGATAAAAATATTAATAATCATTTATAAAAACTAATTGCGAACACTGACTTGTATTTCATTTTGTATACATGCAGAGCTAAATTTCATTTTCCTGATTTAGATGCATTCTTTTTTTTAATTTTTACAATGATATATAATTATTTATTGACTAAAACCTTTTTAAAATACTCCGATACGTTCTGACAATTGACGTCTATTACAAATACCACATCTTGATCGTATTCGCTATCGCGATTTAGGTCACTGAACTGCATCGTTATATGTGAATTACTCGTTTCGGAGAGACCCCAGTAAAAGTTTTGTTTCTTCGCTGCAATAATCATAGAAAAATGTCCAGTTACAAATATAATTGTACACAAACGTCAAGGTTTCTTTAATACAATAATATTCACAACAATAATATCGGAAATGCATTTGCATTGGTCGTTTCTTTAACCTCTTAGACACTTAATGCTCTAGTTTATAAAAGGCAATATTGTATAGAAACATTACTAAATTTAGATATCTTTTCTTACTTGTTGACCAACAGAGCGTTGCGGCTACCGCTGATGGCCTTTTCGTAAAGTTGATGACGTCACTCACGACAATCGCTTCCAAATTTTTCGCATCGGAAATGTAAAAAAATATCGCGAATATTACGAAAAATAACGTTAAAGGATTCATGTTATCACACACAAAGTAGTTGAACGAATATCCAAAAAGCTTGAATAAACTGCGGAATGTGATTGTTTGTAGGAATAAAAATTTCCATGATAAATTTACAATAAGCAAACGCACATCATGGTGAATTCAAAACAATTTGTACATGTCTGTTCTCATCAAAAATTCACAGGAACCTGATACAGAAAAATCGTATCCAATTGAATTCTCGACTGTATCAATATAATTTTACGAAACATGAATATATTATGTGGGCAAATTGCAATTTCACTTTTAAGGTGGTCACTACACGTTTAACCATGTTGTTTCGAGGTAGTTTCAGAGCAAAAATAGCAAATAGATTTTTATACAAATATACTCGTATTTTTATCATACGAAAACCTAACTTTTATAGTAAAAAATAAATATTCTTAAATAACAAATATGAAATCACCCGTATTATGGAGTATGTGAGACAACGGGGTACCTTGTCCAGATCTCGTCTTGTCTTGATCCAGACAATCGAGACAATAGTGAATTTTCCACTTTGATTCAGAGAGACTACGGAGGTCATCAAAATAAAAAAAGACGATTATTTTTTTGTTTTTTTTTTTTAATATATAATAAAGTAGAATAAACAGTCAGATGAGCATATTCTTTTTTTTTGTGCACAGCCCTTTATAGGACTGTCCCCCGGGTTTAACTTAATTTTTATTCTACAAGAAAAAATATATTTTGAGATTTATTATCAGAAAATGCAATTCACATATGTTTTATTTTGTAATTAATAAATATTTTTTCCATTGATTCGAGCAGAACTAATTTAATGACCATTAAAGTGATCCACATGGACTGATTTCGTATGTCCCCTCATCAAATACTATGCTTTATTATGAAAAATAATAAATGTTTTTGGTAGAAATCACATAATGTATTTGGCTCATTTTATACTTAAATATCGACAGCAGTTATATATGCTAAAATTTTCTCAATTGTTTACAGATATTTTATTAAAATTAGAAAAATTGACGCGTTTAAATTTCTGTACAATCCGGAACTTTCAGTTTTGCCACCGTATTTTAACTACAAAAGCTCCCCTAATATGAACATTTCTTTTTGAAATGGAAACATTTAATGCTTCTTTACACAAAAACGTCATTTTGAATTTTGTGTCAAATTAGTGCAGCTTGTAAACAAGACGTGTTGAAGTGACCCTACGGACGAACACATTTTTAACTCAGGTTTGTGTCTTTAATTATTTGTTTTTTAATTGTTCAAAATTTCTATTAATTTTACACGTTATTGTAAATTCAATTTAGTATTCAGTAGTTATAAATTTCAAACGCCAGGCACGATTGATAATTTTTAATTTATTTTTTAATGCATGTGGGTAAATATATGTGACTTCCATTTTATGACTATTTTGCTGGTCACATACGGGCTGAACCAAAAGTTACTACATGACTGACCTCATAAAGGTTCGTTCATAAAGACGTTAATTACTTTTTATCAAGCTAAATTATGATCTATTTTTGAGTACCTGCCTACTTATTTTTTACTTGTGTAATAAATAGAAATACCTACCATTATCCGGTTTATTAGATAGTTCTAAGATATAAGATACCTAAGGTCAATCGTTAAAAGAAAAAAATATCTCTGAAAATAGTGCCATATAGACAAGCCTTTACTGTTTTCGGAAGTTCAGTTTTGTCACTGTCCCTTAATTTCGGAAAGAGAAAAACTAAAATTGTACTATTTATTCTGGTTTAAGGGTATAGTATTAAGTATCACTTAGTGTAAAAATTAATTTTATTAAAATAGATGGTCTTGCAATCGCAAAAAACTTAATATTTTCAAAAACAAATTAAAAAAATTCTAAAAAAAGTATCATTAGTCACAAAACTGATGAACAAAGTACATTTTTTTCAGGATTCTTGAATTGAGATACCCGTTTTTAAGTTTTTTAGTTAATATACATGTCAGATATTTTAAAATAAATAAATATCTTTTAATAACTGCAGTAGTTTTTTTTTAATTGGTCTTTACAAATAGTCACATAACGGATAGCACTACACGACTTGTTCCAATTTGTTTAGGTATATCTTTAAATAAAACTTATATTTTGGCGTTTTCTACTATATTTCCATTATTAGATAGTATAACCATTATAAATATATAATAAAGTTTACCTTAAAATATAAAAAAATACCGAAACATGAGTGATAAGAGTTCGCACAAAAAATAAAATATGCTCAGATACTAACATCAAAATCCACCTGCAATATCGTCACCTGTATCCAATGAAATCTACGGTAAATTACAAGTAAAACATTTGATGGGTTTTAATCTGGCAACAGGGAAGTGCCTAAGCGAAGTTGCAGGACATCAGCTTACCTTTTCTTGAAGTGCTTAGTCGTTTTTCTAACATAACTTGAGTAAGGGATTATACCAGATAAACAAAATTCCCTGGAGATGTCTAAAAGTAAGTTAAGTGAATATAATTGAAGTCTCAATGATTTTGATTAATATCTTAAATTCACCAATTCTTTCAATGACTCAGTCACTCATTGATAATCATTAAAATTCTTAAGGATCTTCTGAAAGTCTTGGAATGTTGAGAAATTTACTTAAAGTATGGAGTAGCTCGGTGGCGTAGTGGATAAGAGTCGCGGCCCGCTATCGTTGTTAAGCAACTTTCGTAAGGGTCGATCATGGGATGGGTGCCCAAAAAAAATTCATCTCCAGCTATTCTTTCATCTAAATTTCCTAAAGCTCCTGCATGGGGACGTAAAAGGGCTAATGATGATGGTATGGCAGATCGAGCGCGCTAACCGCTGCGCTGTTGAGCTCCTCTATACTTTATAAACTGTAATATAATCATAAATTAAATTTTATAATGTCCATAATCTATAAGGTGATTGAGTAGTATCGGTAAGACGTTATATCAATATAAGTTGCCGCTGTTACTGTTTCATTATGTTGATATTTGTTTACCGATGATAAGAGGTATTTTTCCGCTAACAAACAGTGCACATCGATACAATAAATATTGTTACGGCCGTTACCAGGTCTAGTCTACTAATTTAACATGAAAACACTTTCAGTGTTATTACAAAAAAGATAAACACGCGTTGAACACGTGTTTAAAAATTGTTCTATTTAAGCATTGGTTAAGGCAAAACAACCCTTAAACATTGTTAACCTTTCACAATATTTCACTATAGTTTTACATGTTCTGACTTTGAAAAGAATTAGGTCTTTGGATTAAAGTTAAAAATGATAATTTTAGATTAAATATTTTCATTTACAAAAATTATTAACTAGTGTGTTTATAAAGATATCTTTTTACGTCTAAAATTTATTATAAGTTTGTATACAGCGTGCATAGAATTGAACGTGTATGAACGAATAAAAGCCAGTAGAACGAATGTTTCTTCGAAAGAACTAGTGTACTTAGACAATGTTTAAAAATGAATTTGTAATAGGGAAAGTTAGACATCATTTTAAACAGGGTTTATATTCTTAAACACAGTTTAGGTAAACACATGGTAAAACACTGTTTAACGTCTCTTTTGTAATAACACTGTTTTTGTTTATGATTAAGATATATTGCAAGACACATCTTGCTTGTTTCATTGTTTAATTTGTATTTATGTATAGATAAACTGGAACATAATAAATAGTTTTAATAAATCATTCATTACTCATGCATTCAGTGAAATTCTATTTTCATAAAGTGTTTGAAATTATAAATTATTTAAATTACCTCTAATTTTTACCTATATAGGAAAACAGT